ATGTTTTGTTTTTATGCAAGTGTCTGGGTTTAAAATTTTTGCTTGATTTTTATAAACCACCAAGAATCCATGCAAGAAACAAACAATCCTTTTTCTAGCTTAAACATGATATCAATCAATAAAATAACAATTTTAGTTATTATAAGGCAGGCTATAAAATGAAAATACTCCCTAACTTTCTTTAAATATAGGTCAATTAAAGCCACTAATGCATACCTCCATTAGGAGACTATTTTAATTCCAACTTGTGATTAAATATTACTGGCAGATAAAGAGAAATGTAGTATTTTCTCAACGCATAGCAATAATAGAAATTCCCTTTTCTGAAGCCAGTATCTATACATTCATATAATCAAATAAGCACATCTGCAGCAGATTTTCAAAGCTCAGTTTACCAAGAACAGAATTCTTTTCCACTATTGGAATCATTAAACTAAAATAATTCTCTACCAATTGGAACTATTGCCCATATATAGAAAGCTTGTGTTTTTTTCAGCCACCATACCAAAGATCAAACTAACCAATTTGGACTCTCTAAGGAATCAGAACAATCAAGATTCATAACAATAGGGCTATCAGATTTGACTGCAAAATTTCATATACGCTCTAGGTGAAATAAATTAGGTATAGATCACTGTTAACTTTTTTGTTGTTATTTATCATTTAATAATTATCTGATTTCCACAGCACATATCTGGTAGCTGTAATTAAAAATAGTAAGGAAGACATATCTTTGTATCCTGACCTAAAGCAAGTACGATAAAAACAAAGAGAGACTAAATGACTAGTTTCACATTTCCTACGCCAGGGGTCTTCAAACTTGGCCCTTTTATGACTTGTGGACTTCAACTCCCAGAATTCCTCAGCCAGACATGCTGGCTGAGGAATTCTGGGAGTTGAAATCCACAAGTCATAAAAGGGCCAAGTTTGAAGACCCCTGTCCTACGCTGTCATCAAGTGATTTAACTGAGACTTAGCAAGAGGTGTGAAGTCAGTTGTCAAGATGTGGAAACCAGGGCTTCTGCTCCATGTACTTTATAACCAACCAGAAGAACAGAAGTAGGATTTAGAAGGAAGACAGCACAGAAAACAAAATTTATATTCTTTTCTCAGCTTTCTGAAATATACAACTAAGGAAAAAAAAACCCCAGAAAAACTGAATCAGTTGATAGAAACCAGAAACATCCAGGCATGACACTGCAGTGTGTCATGTCAGACAGAAAAAAGAAAAAAGTTTAACCAGCTGGTCTGGAAGCCCAGCTAGAAGCTGCAAAAAAACATATTTAGCACTTCATCAGAGAAACCTTAGAGCGGGCATATGTTCTTGTCAATCACAACCATGACAAATCTGTAAACACAACTCTGAAACTGCAAAATGGAAATAGGGAGGGAGGGAGGGATAGTGTTTCCATTCTAACAGATTTATTGGGATACAATTTTCTTGTGAACTAGGCCATTTTGTCAGGTCTATGGAAACGCAAAGTAAGCAGGTGCCTAGAAGCCAGGAAAGTTATTTAGTTCTTTTAGTGCTTTATATTCGGTTATTTCTGCTATGTACTGTGGAGGATGGGGTCCTGGCATGCCATTGTCCATGGGGTTGCAAAGACTCGGACATGACTCAGCGACTGAACAACAACAACTTTCTCTCCTTACACTTTCCTCACACACAGAATTCTCTAGAAAATCCCAATCTGTAATTTGGGGCACCCCTAGCCAGGCTGTGTATGTTGATATATTTTTAATTGTTTTGTTTTTGCATTACATAAACCCCTGGGTCTCCCACAGAGGGAAGCTATAACCAATTTAAATAAACCATGCAATTAATGTCCATTATTCAGATATGCTACTATTTTAGAATAACCCCAAAGGTAACGCCTACAGAGGCTCGCTCGGCTTTGCTCAGTGTGGGCCTGGAAAGGCCGGAGCAGCTTCTGGCCCTCAGGGGTTATCCACAGCTGCCCCATGTTGCCTGGGCATTATGGTAGTTGTAGTCCATGCGTTTCTGAAGCTTGGCAGCTGGGGAATTCTGGGAGTTGTAGTCCACTTGTCTTAAAGTTGCCTTCAAGGGAGAAAAATGGGGATACCCCACACTTTTGGGGATCCTGAGAATATTCTCACCTGCACAGGGCTGTTTCAAAGGAGGAAAAGGGGAGATAAATAAGCTTCCGCCATGACAGATCCTGCTTGGAAGAGAGGAAAACGCCCTCAACCCACCCCATGGGCTACTCCCGCTGTCATTCCAATCCAGAATCACCAATAGGGAAAGCGTTCAGCGCTGAAGCTCCTCCCACAAAAATCACCCCCCTCTCTCAAGGGCGCCTCCTGCCGTAGGGGTCCCCCACTGGCCCCGCCCCCCGTTCCATCAATCTCGCCAGGAGGCGGGATTTTCTTGGCCCCACCACCAATCGAGACCCGGCCGCATTTTCCCGACGGGCGTCACCCAGGATACTCTCCATGTTGGACATGGCGGCGCTTCAGGTGCGGCCCTGGTCGAGCGACAGTGGAAAACAGAGCGAGGCGGTTCGGTCCCGGCGACCTGTTGGGTTCCTCGTCTTTCCCTCAGCAGAGGGCTTCCTGCTTCCGCCTCCGCCCGGCGAGCTTCACTCCCCGCCTCTTCCGTCAACATCACGTCACGCGGAGCTTGACGAGCAGAAGAGGAGGAGAGAAACTGCAGCTTGAGGGGGATTGGCTGAGGCGCATGCGCACAATGGGAGCACCGTGTTTGGAAGCCCCTGAGAAGACCGCGCCGGCGCAAAGCTCCTCCTCCCAGCCAATAGAGTTTCGGTTTCCTTGATGGCGTCACCGGGAAAGGAGGAGGCTGCACCCTGTCGGAAAAAAGAGGCAACTGCAGGGCTTGGCCGCTTCTCAAGCGGGTAACCTAGACGGGGGAGAGTGCCCATCATCCCCTGCCAATGGAATATGTAGTATTTCGCATCTGGGAAGGAGTCTCGGACGAGCAAGGCAGGGAAGTAGTCCATCCGGACTTACGGGAATTCACCCTCCTATCATTCCTGATTAATGGCCAATTGATTAAATAGCGAGAAGGGAATTGTTAACATTCTAACCCAGGAGGCTGCACGACATTGGATTTTAGCGCGCTCTAATTATTTCTAATGTATTTCTAATTATTTATAGTCTAATTATTGCTGAGAAAAGCAAGTGATGGAAAACGAGGCCACCTAATCACTGGCTCCCTCTAGAGCAGTGGTTCTCAACCTGTGGGTCGGGACCCCATTTAGGGTCGAATGACCATTTCATGGGGGTCGCCAAACAGCGCAATCCGCCATTTCCCCCCCCTTTTCCTTAGCTGTGCTACTCCCTTTTATTCTATTGGCTTTTGAAAGCCAATAGAATAGACTCTCTTGAATAGAGTCTAATTCTATTGGCTTTCAAAAGCCAATAGGAATTGTCCAGCCTGTCTCTGCCCTGATGAGCCCATTGAAAGTCCCATTCTGCAAACGGTGCTGCACCAGTTGAATAGTCCTGGACTTACGACCGGTTGAGTAGTCCTCGACTTACGACCGGTCGGGGGTCGCGGCATTAAAAAGGTTGAGAACCACTGCTCTAGAGATCGATCTGCAGTTCTGGAACCGATCATACACTGGTGTTTCTCAACTTCTTGGCAGCTTTAAGCTGTGTGGGCTTCATCTTCCAGAATTCCCCAGCCAGAATTCTGGGAATTGAAGTTTACCTATCTTATCGAACTCCAGCTACCAGCCCTGGACAACATCTTCTAATCTCGCTGTTTGAGGAAGTTGCATAACATTCTTAGAGACTCTTTCCATCCTGCTTAACAATCTTTTTGGACTGTTGCCTTCTGGCAGAAGATACAGAACAATTAAAACTCGGACCACACATTTTCTGAACAGTTTTTATCCCAGAGCTATAATTGCACTCAACAATGAACTAAAGGGCCACCATCAGTGAACTGTTGGACAGTATTACTTGGTCTGTTGTGTGGATATTTGGGTGGTTTTTAGGGGTGGGGAATTGTGGTGAGTGGGAGTATGTTGGAGATTATGTGTGTGGGACCTGGTCTTTGGGTGTCAAGTAAATTTCGTTGTATGTGTATACTGTTTATACACATACCATGACAATAAAGTTTATTTATTTATTTAAAAGTTCCCAAGATTGAGAAGCGTCAGTAGAGAGCGTCCTGCGGGTTTTAAGTCGACTGAACAAAATGAGGTTAAAATAAGAGTGCCCCTATTTTTTTTTTAATTTATGGAGCCTTACTTCCACGTTGCTAATATCGCTTTTCCAACGAAGTCAAAGCATCGGGCTTAAAAGGGATACGGCCTGCCTTGGATGCCCTGCGTTATTTTGGGGGACGAGCTTTGGTTGCCCTCGTCGTTCTGTCAAAGAAATAGATCTATAGCAGGGGTTCTCAACCTTGGCAACTTTAAGACTTGTGGACTTCAACTCCCGGTTGGGGGGTCGCAGCATTAAAAAGGTTGAGAACCACTGCTTTAAAGGGTAGTTAAGCAAATTATATGTTGGCGTAATAGGTGAATCTGGTCTAAATCTCAGAGCCCTTCAAGTGAGCGCTTCTCTCCCGTTAGGTCTGTAGGCTCAAGATTTCCTTCTCAAAACTGAATCTCGGGGAAGCAGAAAGATGGCAACGCAGCCTTTGCTGGCCGAATAATCCATTACAGGAAAAGGTCCCCCCCAATATGCAAAGCAGAAGAAGGAAGGACTCATTTGACTGAGCTGGCTGGCATGTTTACACCCGTGAATTTTCATTTTCTGGAACTGACATCCACCCCTTCCCTAGTTATTAAGGCGGGGTCGCTCCCCAGGGCGCCGAGGGCGTCCCCGATATTCTATGTATCCCACGCCGTTTCTTCCAAGCCTCCATTTCCCCATCCAAGCCACCCAGCTGTTTATGGAAACGGGGCGGGCTCGGATGGCCCCTCTGTGCCTCAACCCGGGCCTGACGGTTGGGGACCCCCAACCTCCCTTCTGCAAAAGAGGGGCTCCCCCAAAGCCAGGCTGGGGAACAAGGTGCCGGAGCTCCGCGCTGTGGCTTCCAGCAAGGCGACTTTGGAGGAGGGGGGAAAGGCGAGATCCCCACCCACCGCCCGGGATAGGTTGGATAACCTGGCGCATTTTAGCGCGCAGATTTGAAATTTGAACTCTCCCGGAAGCTGTGTCATTTTGCGCGCCTTTGGGCAAAACCATGGCGGGGCTTGCAGATTTGAACCCGGCGCAAATAGAAGAGTACCGCAGGTATTTCCTCGGGGGGGTGGGTGGGATTGCATACACGGGGAAGGGGGCGTCGCGCGATTTGCTTCCGGCAAGCCCCTTTCTTTGTGGGTGGGCTTGGCAGGACCGGGGAGAGGGTTTTTTTTTCCCATATCCCTGTATTCATCTTTTTTCCCCAAAGGTCCATTTTCTGCAAAAATCAGACTTTTTTTTTTAACGTTTGAAAACGAAGAGCACCTTTGGGATAACCAGGACCTGGATGGTTGAGAATCTCCATAGCGTAGTTGTAGATACTACGGGGGTCTTTTATCAATGGGACCGAAGCAGAATCATTATTTGGGGGAAAGAAAGCCTTGCCTCTGCTCGGTGCCATTAACTAGGAACGATCCTTGGCTCCATTTGGTGGGAAAGGGGTAGCTTACTGAAGGTTAAGCAGAATGCAGTTTGCAGAACTGGAGTTTGCACGCCCAAATTCGCAGTGAAGCGTTTCCCCCGCTTTAGGCTTTCCTCATTGTGTCCACACACACACCCCGCCCCCTTGTCCAATCCGTTTTGAACAAATTGTTTTGGAAACTGTCTGTTTGTAGACAGGCAAGCAGCTGCATCCTTCTCATTCCAGAGAACATACCAGCTGGCACTCACACTGTTTAACTTTCACTTTCTCCCATCTCTTAGCTTTCACTTTCCCCCCCACAGACTCTGCCCCTCCTGTTTTCCCCACAACCACAACGGTGTGAGGTGGGTTGCGGCTGAAAGAGAGGGATTAGTCCAAAGTCACCCATTTGGTTTTCATGTCTAAGGCAGGGCTACAGCTCAAAGTCTCCTGGTTTCTAGGCCAGTGCCTTGATCACTAACTGCCTTATTATTTGGTGAGCCAAGCCAACCGTGGTTTACTCTGCAAAGTATGCCTAAACAAAGCACAGCTTAGAACAGGGGTGTCCAACCTTGGGAACTTGAAGACGTGTGGGCTTCAACTCCCAGAAATTCACCACCCAGTTCTGTTTCCAAAGTTGGGCACCCCTTGCTTAAAAGAAGATGTGAATTTAGCCCCAATCTGGATAAACTCCTGTTTGCTAATAATGTCAGTGAAGAACCCTGGCTGCATCTGTTGCTTAAAAAAAAATCTAAAGTTGCGGGGAAGCTAAATTTGGACATGCATCTTCAATTATTTAGAACAGTGGTTCTCAACCTGTGGGTCGGGACCCCATTTGGGGTCGAACGACCATTTCACGGGGGTCACTAAACAACACAGTCTGCCATTTTTTCCCCCTTTTCCTTAGCTGTGCTCCTCCCTTTTATTCTATTGGCTTTTGAAAGCCAATAGAATAGACTCTCTTGAATAGAGTCTAATTCTATTGCCTTTCAAAAGCCAATAGGAATTGTCCAGGCTGTCTCTGCCCTGCTGAGCCCGCCAAAAGTCCCATTCTGCAAACGGTGTTGCACCAGTTGAGTAGTCCTCGACTTACGACCGGTTGAGTAGTCCTCGACTTACGACCGGTTGGGGGTCACGGCATTAAAAAGGTTGAGAACCACTGATTTAGAAGAAAGCCTTGATGAAAACGTTTGCTGAAAGTCAAGGATAACTTTGCCAAGCTGTCATCTTGAGGCTGTGGAACAGTTTGCAACCAGCCCTTCTCTGATATTAGAACTCCATGTTCAAGAGGAGGAAGGAGAAAAGAGGATAATATACAATGCAGGAGAATGTGTGGCCTTTTCAGATTTGCAAAAAACCCCTGGCTTTAATACAGATACTCCTTGACTTACCATCACAATTGAGCCCAAAATTTCTGTTGCTAAGTTAAGTGATTTCTTCTCTCTCCCCCCCTCTCCATTTTACAGCTTTTCTTGCCACATTTGTAAAGTGAGTCACTGCAGTTGTTAAAGTTAGTAAGATGGTTGTTAAGTGAATCTGGCTTCCCCCATTGACTTTGTTTGGCAGGAAGTCACAAAAGCTGATCACAGGACCTTGGGGCACTGCGACCGTCATAAATATGAATCAGTTACCAACTGCCCGAATTTTGATCACAGGGATGCTGCAGCAATCTTGTGAAAAACGGTCATAAGTCACTTTTTTCAGTGCTGATGCAACTTTAAATGGTCACTAAATGAACTGTTGTAAGTCGAGGACCACCTGTACCAGCCTAGAAATAAGTGCTACTATTACCACCCACCTCCGAATCCAAGGTATTTATGTTGCACAGGGAGAAAGCACTAAAATAATTCTCTCCCCTGTTTGTTTTTCTGCCCTTGAGTGGTTTTTTTGTCTGTTTGTTTCTGACTACAGAACTGTCTCTTGATTTCACAGATATGTGTCCCAAGCAAAGCAGGAGGCCAGAAGTGGGAACTTGGAAGCATCTATCCAATTGTTCCAACAGGCTCTTGAAATCCATTTCAGTGAAAAGCTGACAGCGAACATTAAAAAGTTAGAGGAAGCCCTGGCTTCTCTGTCTATGGACCAGGAGGACGACGATTTTGTGGATGTGTGTCAGAGTGGACTCATGCTGTACGGAGAAATACACGCTAAGCTTTTTGATCATCAGAGGGAAGGGGTTGCTTTTTTGTACAAGTTGTATCGAGAAGGAAGGAAGGGCGGCATCCTAGCAGATGACATGGGCCTCGGAAAGACCGTTCAGATCATCGCGTTCCTCTCTGGGATGTTTGACGCAGAACTCATCCGTTCCGTGTTGCTGGTTCTCCCAACCACCCTTCTTAACAACTGGGTGAAAGAGTTTGCCAAGTGGACCCCAGGCCTGCGGGTGAAAGTTTTTCATGGGACCAGCAAAGCTGAACGCAACAGATATCTGGAGCGGATCCAGAGGAGAAACGGTGTCTTGCTCACAACCTACCAGATGGTCCTCAACAACTGGCAGCAGCTATCTAGCTTTGATGGGAAAGAGTTTGTTTGGGACTATATCATTCTGGATGAAGCCCATAAAATCAAAACTCCGTCTGCCAAAACGACAAAATCTGTGCACTCCATTCCTTCCAAAAACCGCATCCTTCTCACAGGGACCCCAGTTCAAAATAATCTGAAAGAACTTTGGGCTCTTTTTGATTTTGCTTGCCAAGGCTCACTTTTGGGTACCCTCAAAACCTTTAAGATGGAATATGAGAATCCTATCACAAAAGCTAGGGAAAAAGATGCCACTCCTGGAGAGAAAGCTCTGGGACTTAAAATCTCAGAAAATCTGATGTCCATCATTAAGCCCTATTTTCTCAGACGGACTAAAAATGAGCTCCAGAAGAAGAAGAAGACTGAGTTTCCAAACCATCTTCCTGAAGACCAAAGTAAAGGTGTTGCTCCTGCCATGCCTTCTCTTCCTCGAAAGAACGAGTTCATTGTATGGGTGTTCTTAGCACCTGTACAAGAGGAAATATATAGAAAATTTATATCTTTGGATCATATCAAGGAGCTGTTGATGTCTACAAGGTCCCCACTGGCTGAACTGAGTATTCTGAAGAAGCTCTGTGATCATCCAAGGCTCTTGTCAAATCGAGCATGTAGTCAACTTGGGCTGGAAGCATCCAATTACAGCGAAGAAGACGTTGGTGAAAATGATCTTCCAGACATGAAGAGAAGTATTGAACATGTTTCTGATGAGATGTTAATTCAGGAGTCTGGAAAGTTGAGCTTCCTTGTGGCACTGTTGGAAAGACTGCAAGACGAGGGACATAGAACTCTGGTGTTTTCCCAGTCACGAAAAATGTTGGACATTATAGAGCGCATCTTAACTCACAGGGGCTTTAAGCTCATGCGCATTGATGGGACAGTGACCCATTTGTTAGAACGAGAGAAGAGAATTGGTATGTTTCAGAAAGATGGAGACTACTCTGTCTTTCTGCTTACTACTCAAGTTGGTGGGGTCGGTTTAACCTTAACCGCTGCTAGCCGGGTGGTGATTTTTGATCCTAGCTGGAATCCAGCTACAGATGCTCAAGCTGTGGATCGAGCTTACAGGATTGGCCAAAAGGACAATGTCATAATCTACCGGCTAATCACCTGTGGGACAGTAGAAGAGAAGATCTATAGAAGACAAGTCTTCAAGGATTCCTTAATACGTCAAAGCATGGGTGATAAGAAAAACCCCTATCGCTATTTCAGTAGACAAGAGCTAAGAGAGTTGTTCACACTGGAAGACACTCGAAGCTCAGCCACACAGCTACAATTGCAGTCCTTACATGCCACCCAAAGAAAAACAGACACTGAGTTGGATGAACACATTGCATATCTCCATATGTTGGAGATATTTGGCATTTCTGACCATGATTTGATATACACACGTGAGACAGCACATGAGGACGAAGCTGAAAATGAAGAAGCCCACAGGTACATTGAACACAGAGTCCAAAAAGCCCAAGAATTGGTACGACTAGAATCTCAGTTGAATGACCAGCTGATGAGAAATATCAGAAACACGACTGAAGGAGCCTGGCTTAGAGATATAGATTCATCCACCCAGCCAAAAACAAAACCACCGAAGTCTTCACCAAGTGACACTCTTGGACCATCCATGTCTGAAAGTACAAGCCCAATAGTCGTGGACTCACCCACTCCATCCATGAAGAAATCACCAACTCCTCCTCCAAGTCCTGTTGTTACGCCACCTGTATATAGTAGTCCTGTCGTCAATAATGAAATTGTTGATCTTGTAAGTGATGATGACAATGATGTTGTTAGTGATATGGTCAATTTGAGCTCTAAAATGACCAGTCTGATGATTGAAGATGTGGCTGATGAGGAAATGGCTCAGATTATTTCTAATATGGAGGATAACTCGTCTTCTGAGCAGAAAGAACACCAATTTCCCAGCCTCCAAGAGTGTGAACTAAAGTCTGGGACAGGTCTTGTGTCCCCTTTTCTGACTCCTTCAGTATTTAACAAGGTGGACTGCAGTCCTGAATCCAGGGCAATCTCTGAGTTACCTGCCAAGGATACGGATGATGAGCAAATGGTTTTCCATACAAATAACACGGATGTTCTGCATTCCAAAAAGAAAGACTATCAAGTAATTGGACTGCAAACAGATGAGCAAAATGAAAGTCTAAATGTTGTATCTTCTTTTCCCAAAGCAATTTCATTATCTATGGAAGACAATGTCAACTCTGAATCCAAACGGATCTCTTGCGATCCATCTCCTGAAGCAAGAAGTGAGCTGAAGGATGTCCAGATGAAACTGCTGCAGGAGTCATTTGTGCATCCTTTTGATGATGGCAGGCACCAAAGTGAGACCGAGATGTCACTTGATGTTCTTCCAATCTCTTGTGGAGATGCATGTGAAAAAATGAGCAGTCTGATGATTGAAGATGGGGCTGATGAGCAAATGGCTCAGATTATTTTTAATATGGAGGATAACTCATCTTCTGAGCAGAAAGAACACCAATTTCCCAGCCTCCAAGAATGTGAAATAAAGTCTGGGACAAGTCTTATGTCCCCATTTCTGACTCCTTCAGTATCTAACAAGGTGGACTGCAGTCCTGAATTCAGGGCAATCTCTGAGTTACCTGCCAAGGATACGGATGATGAGCAAATGGTTTTCCATACAAATAACACAGATGTTCTGCATTCCAAAAACAAAGAATATCAACTAAGCGAACTGCTAACAGATGAGCAAGATGAAATTCTAAACGTTGTATCTTCTTTTCCCCAAGCAATTTCATTATCTATGGAAGACAATGTCATCTCTGAATCCAAACGGATCTCTTGCGATCCATCTCCTGAAGCAAGAAGTGAGCTGAAGGATGTCCAGATGAAACTGCTGCAGGAGTCATTTGTGCATCCTTCTGATGATGGCAGGCACCAAAGTGAGACTGAGATGTCACTTGATGTTCTTCCAATCTCTCGTGGAGATGCATCTGAAATTAATGCACTAGATGCTGTGGCACCCCATGGGACCAGGACTAGCAAAATGACAAAAAGCAGCACATTGCAGAAATCTGGAGCGAGAGAAACCAGGCAGGATGAATCTTTTGACATTTGCTCTCAGTTTCAGATCAATTTTAATCTCACCTTGGAAGATTCTGAGAACAGACCACAAGCTATCTCAGAAAAAGACATGTCATTGGAGGAGACAGAAGATGAAGGCTTCCAGCTGCGGTTGGATAGCTACTGTAGCTCTGCCACTGAGTCTGTTGGGGGAGAACATGGGCATCCCAGAAACCCCCAGACTTGCAATGCTGTAGAGGGCTCTGTGGTCATGGATGACGCCAACAGTCCATGTGATAGCAGCGACAGTTTTGGGTGGGGGAAAAAGAAGCCTACTGCAATTATTGTTTCGGATGAGGAAGACGAAAATGATGAATTAATAGATGACCTGGATGAGGCCAAAGCAGGTGGAATTTGTATGTCTACGCCAAAGACCAACAGGCCAACGGCTGCGGTTTGTTTTTCTCCAAGGATCAAATTGAGTGGAAGAAGATCAACCGCTTCTCGTCGATCCCTTTTTGATGTGGTCTTGGAAGAAGTGGAGGGTGCACCCAGAGAAGCAGGGACTGCCAGCGATGTATCTAATGATAGGTCTGTTCAGCACGAGTTTGAAGAAGAGCTAACCCAAAATTACACTGAGCAAACGTCAGAAGAATTGGAAGAGGAGCCATCAGGAGAAACGCTGGATTCTGAGAGCGAATCTAGCCATCTTCATGATACAGACACTTCAAGAGGAGAATCTTCTCTCTGAAGGAACAGTTACAGGGGAATCTGATCCATCTGGAAAAAAGAAAACTCTAAGTAACTGTGCTTGAGTTGAATGTTTGTTCTGAAGACTTTTCACTACTGTTGGATTTTGTTTTGGAGAACCAGCTGCTGAAAATTAAATGTATAATATCTTTAGGAATGTCTTAGCAGACACTTTTAGTTCTTTATTATGTTTTGCTGCCTTTCATTTCAAAGGCAGTTCAATTTCTATCAACCCTTTTGTCTTGGGTATGGCCAAGGTGCTGGATTTTGGAGAGTCAGTTCTCCTTTAGGTAGCTAATCTTTCATTGGGCTGTATTACTTGAGACTTTTATTGCAATGATGGAGTCTTGTATTCAAAAAAAAGTTTAAAAAAAATTAAAAAATCCTGATAATGGAAGACTGACATGCCAGATAAGGTCTGATTAATGTCTAGCATTGACAATTGACTCATATGATCCAGTAATAATGATTTTTAACACATGGAAAATGCTTAGACCAATGTTTTCCAATCTTGCCCAACTTTTAAGATGTGTGCATGTTAAGTCCCAGAATTCTTCACCGATCTTCTTGACTGGGGAATTTTTGAAGCCCACACAATTTAAAGTTGCCAAGATTAAAAAAAAAAAAACTGGCTTAGTCATTGCCATAAAGCCTAAAATATGACCGTTCCTTTAATCAGATAATAGGAATAGCTTGAGCAATTCAAAGTCATTTTCCTATTTTAAATAGGAAATTTTAAATAAGTCTTTTTTTTCCACCGAGTTTTTATACAAATACTAGTTGTTGGCTACAGTTGAGCCCAAAATTTCCATTGCTAAGCAAGACAGTTGTTAAGTGAGTTTCCCCCCATTTTATGACCTTTCTTGGCACAGTTGTTGGGTCAGTAAACTGATTCTGGCTTAATTTGGATACGTGGCCACTGGATGCATTTTACGACAGTTGTGGTGTCCCAGAGTCATGTGATCAACTTTTGTAGAAGGTTACAAAAGTTGATCACATGACTCTGGGACACCACAACTGTCGTAAAATGCATCCAGTGGCCACATATCCAAATTTAAATCACGTGACCGTGTGGATGCTGCTTGGTTGTAACAGTGAAAAATGGTCATGAGTCACATTTTTCAGTGCCCTTCTAACATCGCTCACTAAACAAATGGTTGTAAGTTGGGGAACACTTATAAAACCTTTCCCCCTTGACTGGCGAATAAGTCGTGCTACATCAGAAGTGAAAAGTCAAATACGTGGCCTATTCCTCATTCATTGTGGTTGCAGAATGGCTGGCTTCACACAACCCTAAAATCCATGCATTGCAAAAAGGCAATAGCTGGCTTATCCCATAACTTAACCTGCTGTGTGGGGGGGGGGTTGCAAAACGAGGCTGGGGAAATATCTGTTGTGGTTTTCTGAACTTGAAGAACGGAGCAGAAAGAATAACATTTACCTTGCTTTCTCTATAGGCTGTTTGGATTAGGGCTAGAAACAAACCAAATGCAGAATAGCGAAGTTAGAAGGGATCTTAGAGGTCTTCAAGTCTATCTCTTTCCTTCCTTTCTCTCTTCCCTTTGTTGCTTCCTCCCTCTCCTCTCTTCCCTCTTCTTTTGTTTTTCTCTCCTAGTTCCTCTCCTTCCTATCCCTTCCTTCCTCCCTCCTTCTCTCTTCCCTCTTGTTCTTCTTTTGTTTCTCTCTCCCAGTTCCTCTCCTTCCTATCCCTTCCCTCTTCCCTCCCCTATCGCAAAGAAACCTGTGCTGAAGCAGAGATCTGTAATCTCTTGCCCTTCCCCAGTCAAAATCCACAGTATGACCAGTGGGGTTCTCCTAATCTGTAAACTTGCAGATACATAAGTGGTCCAATCAAAGCTTATTTAATTAAGTCTCCTTAAAGTGATATAATCATTCTAATTGCTAGTTGCTGAAAATTCTCTAAAGTGGACTTTTATTCGTCTTGAGCATTACTACATAAATCTATGCCACAGCACCAACATTTAAACTGGTTCCTGCATTGTTTGGTTTGGATTGATGGCTTTTGTGGACCCAGCTATTGTGGTTTGCAAAGTTTGCTTTGTGCTTTAGTATTATACAGGCTTTTCCAGTTGTGCCATGTGTTAAATACATTTTCCATTTATTCATGTCAGAGTTAAACAAGCTGTCTCAATGCAAGCCTCTAAGATAGGGCCAAGGCAAGAAACAGGCAAGGCAAGGACTCTTTATTTATCGTTATTGTAGAATAACGACCTTGAAAACTTATCCAACTTTCCTTCTGTTCCATTTTCTACTAAACAAAATCAAGGCACAATTATTTTGCATTCCTCATTTTTCAACAGAGAGGTTTCCACTAATCCAAAATGACATTAGGATTTGCTGGTGATACTGTATTGTTCAGCATAGCAATTCAGCCAACTGCTGGCCCAATAATTTTAGAATTCTTCTTACAGGTTTCATCTATTTTGAGCTATTTGCGATGCCGTGCTACTACTGGTGAGCATTTATGTAGAATGAAACTGTCAGAGCTTGTGACCATAATTTATTCCATTTCCTTTCTATAAAAGACCCGGTTTGGGGGTTGAGGGAGGGGGGTGAGCAGCATCCATGTCCCAACAATCTACTTTTGTGTGTCAGAAAGGAAGCATCCAATCCTGTCCAGGGTACATTTCCTTCTTTTTTGAGTGTTTAAATATAGAACCAACGGAGGTCCCTGCCTTCCTCCTATCTAGAATGAGTCACCTCTCCTTGACGTCACGTCTCAGAAAAGGCAAGTATGCTTCAACGTCATTGGAGGTGGCAGCTGCACCTTGTCAGGTCCTATTGATCTTCCATTCCATCAGAGAGAGAGACACACACACAGAGAGAGATTCCAGATGCTCTGTGTCTTTCTGGTTTCTCTCCACTGATGTCATCAGCTTTGTCTTCATACTGAAAGCTAAGCCAGGGTGCTGGTTTCCAACCCAGGCTTGACCTTTCTTTCCAGCCAGCACCAAAGGAAACAGCTCTTCAAATCCTTTTTGTACTGCATGACTGGAATCATCCCAAATTGTCCTCAAGTAGGGGTGGAATCTTAATCATTCATCTGATGCTTATGACTGGCTACTCAACCCCACCTACCTTCGGAGGAGTGAAGTTAACCCAGTCCTGTAGCTTTACCTAGGAGACACTGATTTACTCGAGTTACGACCACAACTGAGTCCAAAATTTATGTTGCTAAGTGAGACGTTCGTTAAACATTTTGCCCCGTTTTGCGACCTACCTTGCCACAGTCGTTAAGTGGGTCACTGCAGTTGTTAAGTTAGTAACATGGTTGTGAAACGGATTTGGTTCCCCCCCCCCCGCTTGACTTTGCTTGTCAGGTCGCAAAATGGGATCACATGACCCTGGGACACTGCAACCGTCATAAATATGAGTCAGTTGTCAAGGGTCTGAGTTTTGATCTTGTGACCACAGAAGAAGCTGCAACCGTTGTACGTGTGCAAAATGGTCATCAGTCACTTTTTTCCAGTGATGATGTGACTTTGAACAATCACTAAATGGACTCTTGTAAGTCGAGGACTATCTGTATAAACCTCATAGGGTTAGCAAAGGTGATAAATATGGGATTGGTTAGTTGCTGGCTCTAGCTGCAGCCAACTGGTGAGAATAAATATTAATTCTGCAGACTTGCTCCCTATTCCTTTGAACTTACCATAGACCAAGTCTCACACAGCCAGGCATGATCAAGGAAGCAAGCAGTATGTGGACTTCAATAAAGTATCTTTAATACTGGTCTGGGATTAAATACAAAATCTTGGAAAGTTGTGTGCAGCAGCAACCAAAAAAGCTAATACAACCCTGGGATGTATAAACAGGCATAGAATCAAGATCGCGCAAAGTATTAGTACTGCTTTATAAAGCCCTAGAATAATGATGGTGAATCTTGTAGAGATCAAGTGCCCAAACTGCAACCCCAAGCCCACTTATGCACTGTCGGGTGCCAGGTGGGTGTGGCCATTGGCTGGGTGTGGCCTATTGGGTGGGCGTGGCTGCAGTGGTAACAGCAGACTGGGTGGGACTAAAAAGTTCAATCAATCAATTCCAACTTTGCAAGATCTTTTTTTTTTCCCCGCGAGAAGTTGAAATTGACTGATTGAATCTTTTTTTTTTTTTTTTTGCACACGGCGGCGGAGGCCTAAAGAAAAAAGGTTTTATAAAACCCAGCTGAAGGCCTAGGACTGGGGTGCCCACAGAGAGGGCTCTGAATGCCGCCTCTGATACCTGTGCCATAGGTTCGCCACCACTGCCCTATAAGACCACACCTTGAATACTGCAGTCAATTTTGATCACCATATCACAAAAAAGATATTGAGAGTTTGGAAAAAAATCAGAGAAGAGCAACTAAGATGATCCAAGGCCTGGAGACTAAAACATACGAAGAACAGGATGTGGGTTTGGCTAATCTAAAGAAAAGAAGAAATAGGGGAGACATGATAGCAGTGTTCCAGTATCCGAGGGACTGCCACAAGGAAGAGGGGGGGCCAGGTTGTTCACCAAAGCACCAGACGGAAGGACGAGAAACAATGGTTGGAAACTGGTCAAAGAGAGAAGCAACATGGAATTAAGAAGAAACTTCCTGATGGTGAGGACAATCAACCAGTGGAACAGCTTACTGCCAGAAATCATGGGCGCTCCATCACTGGAGATTTTCAAGAAGAGACTGGACAATCACCTGTCTGAGATTAATAATAATAACAACAATAACAATAATAATAATAATAAAGTTGGGAGAGACCTTGGAGGTCATCAAGTCCAACCCCCTGCTCAGGCAGGAAACCCTATACCATTTTGGACAAATGGCTGTCCAGTCTCTTCTTGAAAACCTCCAGTGTTGGAGCATTCACCGCTTCTGGAGGCAGGTTGTTCCACTGGTTAATTGTTCTCATTGTCAGGAAGTTTCTCCTTAGTTCTAGGTTGCTTCTCTCCTGGATTAGTTTCCATCTGTTGCTTCTTGTCCTGCCTTCAGGCGCCTTGGAAAATAGCTTGACTCCCTTATAGGTTCTCCTGCTTGAGCAGGGGGCTGGACTAGAAGACCTCCAAGATCCCTTCCAGCTCTATTCTAAGTTGAAGAGGAATTTTCACATTTATCATTGATTGATTAAGCTCTTGGATTAATGCTTTTCTCCACGATTCTTGCCTCCTGGGCTGTGTTGCCGATTATGAGATGGTTCACCTTCTGTCTCTTTGATACTTTATGTCTTCTCCTTTATGCCTTTCTCAGGCTGGCTGCCATCTCCCACCCTTTGGCCAGTCTTTCTCCCAACCTGTTTTATCCTTGATCTGATTCTTGGAGAATCATCTGTGAATTCCCTTTGGAGGTTCGCCAGACTCTGATACGCAACGTGTTCCTCTCGCAAACTGGACTCGCTCCATATCCAAGGGAACCACCACAAAAGAGTTATGCAGGGATCCTTCTATTTCAGTACAGGTAGTCCTTGACATATGATCACAATTGAACCCTCAAATTACGCTGCTAAGCGAGGCATTTGTTAAGTGAGTCTTGCAACTTACGTTAGTTATGCAACTCTAACAGAGAGAGAGTAGCTGGAGAAGAAGAAAAAAGAACTTTCAGAGTGGACCCAGTTGAGGTTGGTTCTGTGTAAGCCTACATAGAATCACACTGATTCTGCTTGATCTGTTACAGGGGTCTTCAAACTTGGCCCTTTTATGACTTGACTTCAGCTCCCAGAATTCCTCAGCCAGGCTGGCTGGCTGGCTGAGGAATTCTAGGAGTTGAAGTCCACAAGTCATAAAAGGACCAAGTTTAAAGACCCCTGATCTATTACTTTGAATAGTCTTTGAAGAGTGTTAATTCAGCACCCTACAGATCTCTGCAAATCCAGACTTTTCATCTTCCTACTCACGTCGTATTTTCCACCATCCTCATCTGGAAAATGAAAGATATTTATTGGTCTTGGATTGTTGGTTTGCCCTTTCCAGTCTGGGAAACGATTCAAACCCCCTATCAGAAGAGTGTTATCTAGCCAGCTGATTCACCATTCCGCACTTCTCACCAGAAGCATGACCCAGGTAACCTTGCATGTCTCAGTTTCATCTTCATCAAGACTCTTATTATTGGACGTGCTCCAGACAATTCTTAATGGTAGAGAAGAGCACATTGTTAGCCAAGATACAAAGGATGCCTCAAGGGCATAATTCCTGCTCCCCCTGGTGCTGAGATTTGGGGGGGGGGATATAATATGACCAGGCTTTAATTCAAAGGTGTGCAAGTTCTTTTTAGACCAAAAAATATTTGACTTTTGATTGGCATGCTCACTCTTCATTTCCAGAAATGGATAGAGTCGGGGCAAAAGCTAATTTGGATTTAATTAATGTTTACATAATTTGAGAAGGTGTGATGGCTCAGCCGTTAAAAGACTCAAAAGTTTGTGGGCTGGGAAGCTGACAGCCAGGTTAGAGATCTCTGCATTGCACAATGGGGTGCTCTCCCATTGCCTTCCCCAGCTTCTACTCATCTAGCAGTTCGAAAGCATGCATATGTGAGTAGATCAATAGGTACCACTTTGGTGGGAAGGTAACCACATTCCAGTGTGTTTTTGGAGTACGGTGATGCTGGCCATATAATCATGGAAAATGTCTTCAGACAATGTTGGCTCCCTCTGCAAAGAAATGGAGATGAGCACCACCCCTTAGAGTCAGACACAGGACAGAGAAAACTTTACCTTTTTGTATAATTTAGTTTAAATTGAATTAAATACAGTTATTATGGCTACTCTTAAGGTACCTATGAGTTCTCTCAGTTCTAATGCTTAAAGGGGCTGTGTTATCTCATCCAAAATTTGGGGTGGGGGGAGGGATCAGATTGTGTTCTTTTAACCTTACCTGAGTTATCATCAAGCACTTTCTGGTACAATCCAACTTAGAAGGGAAGGTTGTGAATAGGAAAATAAAAAACTAATTGAATTATTCAGTGAAAGAAAGGCATGACATTTGTCTCACAAAATGGGTTGTTGTAAAAGCAGTTACTCATCATTGGTTCAAGCGGTTGATTCATTGCTGACTAATATTTTGGATATGAAGCCAGTGTCCAAGAGTAAAAAGTAAATTACTTCTTTGGGCAGCGAAGAGCAACGGGATTAAAACTTGATTACATCTTAGGTAATTATTTTTTTCTTGAGGTTCTTAGTTTGACAGATGGAACCTAAAATTTCAAGTTCCATTCAAGCTGTGCATTCATGTGCCGGAGTCTGTTTAACAAGCTATAATTTGGAATTCGTTAAACTGTAATTACACGGCATATATGTATGCTGTAAAGGGTAAAGACTGAATTCACATAGTAAACTAGTACCAAAGTAACTCTGTAATGATTCCACAGCTTTAAAAATGTATATTACAATTGTAGTCTAGCAAATGAAGGGACAAAACAGCAAATTACCGTCAGCAAACGCAGCCAAGTCTCAAGAATTTTTGAAATACTTGAATGATTCAGGAGAGGTAAGCTGCTGCTGAAAAAGTACAGTATTTTGGCTTTCTGTTGGGTTTCTCTAATAGTTCATTAGCGTTTGTAATCTTTTGTGAATCGCATATTGCCTCCATTCTGATAGTGGGGTCACAGAAAAAGGTGAGCCAAGAAAATAATTATCTTTACATAACCCACAGTTCCTGTGGATGTTTCAGTACATTTAAAATGTGATGACCTTTTACGGGTAGTCCTCTACTTACGACCACAACTGAGCCCAACATTTAGGTTGCTAAGTGAAACATTTGTTAAGTGAGTTTTGCCCCATTTTACAACCTGGCTTGCCACAGATGTGAAGTGAATCACCGAAGATCACAAAAAGGGATCAGTTGATCCCTGAGACCTGTAACCATCATAAATATGAACTAGTTGCCAAGTGTTTGAAGTTTGATCATGTCTCCATGGAAATGTTGCAATGGTCGTAAGTGTAAAAAACAGTCTTGGGTCACTTTTTCCAGTACTGTGAATGCCTATATGATTCATTTGTTCTGCTCCAGTTCCCTGAAGACACAAAACAGGACCGATAAAAATGGTATTTCTCCCAAATTTGAATTTGAGGCTGTAGTAGATTCACACACTGCAATAAGCAAGGATATGATCTGTTTCACATTTCCTTGCTAGCTATGGGGAACCAAGCCACGGTGGTTTGCAAACCATGTTTTCATAGGTTAATAGGTTGTGTAATGTGCTGGTCTACTTTAAAGGGTAGTTAAGCAAATTATATGTTGGCGTAATAGGTGAATCTGGTCTAAATCTCAGAGCCCTTCAAGTGAGCGCTTCTCTCCCATTTAGGTCTGTAGGCTCAGATTTCCTTCTCAAAACTGAATCTCGGGGAAGCAGAAAGATGGCAAAGCAGCCTCTGCTGGCCGAATAATCAATTACAGGAAAAGGTCCCCCCACTATGCAAAGCAGAAGAAGGAAGGACTCATTTGACTGAGCTGGCTGGCATGTTTACACCCGTGAATTTTCAGTTTCTGGCACTGACATCCACCCCTTCCCTAGTTATTAAGGCGAGGTCTCTCCCCAGGGCGCCAAGAGTGTCCCCGATATTCTATGTATCCCACGCCGTTTCTTCCAAGCCTCCATTTCCCCATCCAAACCACCCAGCTGTTTATGGAAACGGGGCGGGCTCGGATGGCGCCTCTGTGGCTCAACCCGGACCTGATGGTTGGGGACCCCCAGCCTCCCTTCTGCAAAAGAGGGGCTCCCCCAAAGCCAGGCTGGTAAACAACGTGCCGTAGCTCCGCCCCGCCAGCTGGCTTCAAACAAGGCGACTTCGGAGGAGGGGGAAAGGCGAGATCCCCCACCCACCCCCACCCGGAAAAGAAAGTTGGCTGCGAGATGGTGTTTGGGAGGGGCGGTGGAGTTTTTGAAGCCCAGGAGAGCCGGCGAAGGGCGGCCGGGCCGGGCGGCGAACGAGAGAGATCTCCCCGCCTGCGCCCCTCTCCGCCGGGGCGCAGGGCGACGAGGATGCCCTGACCGGCAGCTCCACCTCAAACTGTGTGACGCGGGGTTGCCATGGGCACTCTTTTACGCTACAAGGGCTGAGTCGCGGCGGGCGGGCGGGCGAGCCAGCCGGCGGGAGGGTCGGGGCGCATTTCAGCACCACCGTGGAGGTGGACAGCAGCCTCGGCGCCGCCGCTCCGCGCTTCTCTTCCCCCTCCCTCCCCTCCCGCTCCCCGCTCTCGGGTCTCCCCTCCTGTCCCCCATTTCCCCCTCGGCTCTGGGGGGGACTGGCGGGTCCTGGGGTGCCTTGCGATCGTTGCTCTCCCCCGGCGTCCTCACCAGCTCGGGCCCGAGCCATCCATTTCTGGAAGGAAACGGAGGGAAGAGAAGGGCAGTGAGGGGCGCGTCTCCCCACCCCCTCGCCCGCAGGCTTGGGGGACGCCAGCGGGGAGAGGGGGGGTCTTAAGCTGCCGCTTCCACGAGGCCGTCCCGGTGAGTACTTCGCTCTTCTTGCAGACGAGCCGGCGGGAAAGAAAAGGGAGCTTGGAGTTAAGAGAGGCGTTGGGCATTTCGTTGCCTCGTTGTTTTTACTATTCTTCTTCTCCTTCTTCTTCTTCTTCTTCTTCTTCTTCTTCTTCTTCTTCTTCTTCTTCTTCTTCTTCTTCTTCTTCTTCTTCTTCTTCTTCTTCTTCTTCTTATTATTATTATTATTATTATTATTATTATTATTATTATTATTATTATATGCTGTTTTGTGGTGACTGTTGAACAGTCCCATCTCCGTAGAGAAGAAGCCATTCAAAACTCTTGAGCCTTGTGTAAGGGGTCCTTGTACTGGGAAGGCATTCTGGAGACCGGGGAGGTTGACGAGATGAAGTTCAACATACCTCGTTCAGCTATAAGGATTCCTCACAGGAAGCTCAGAGTTTTGAATGTAGTCTTCTCCAGATATTGGCCAAGAAGGTTTCTCTCCCTTAGGTCCCAGCTAAAACTTCAAGGGCCCTTTCTATAGCCAACTTCATCGGTTGACAAGTATTTGGCTTTCTCTCCCCCCCCCCAATTGCCTCAAGACTTTGAATCTGAGGTCAGCAAGTTGTTGGGTTAAACTACTCCAGCCTAATCTGAAATCCATGCAAAACATTGTTGGAAATCCTCTTGATCTGGAGGGAACAGTCCAACAAGGGGGTGATGGAGCTCAGGAACATCTCCTGGTGTGTGGTCCCCATCCATGGATATTGTTACTATTATTTCTGGTGCTTCCTGGAGCCTTGCCTTCAACAATTGACCTGAAGATGGAAAGTTGCAACATTAGTAGCTGGAAAGGCCTGCCTTGCGAAGCTCTGAATTTTGTAATCTCACAAAAAAGTCTCTAGCTACTTTTAGTTTTCTAGAGATTCACTAAAATGAGTGAGGTTTGGGGCAAGAACAGAGCTAAAACCAAAGCACATAGAAAGATTTAGATTTATGTCTTTCATTTCTATGATTTTCCTGTATGTGCTACAGGCTCATTATAATATACATTATGAGGAAAATCACACTTACAAAAACTTTCATTCAGATAGAGCAATATGTGTCTATTGTTAGTGTTATTGCTTTGCTTCAGGTCAGACAAGCTGTCCCAATTCTAAAAGTCATTAAAGGATCATATTTTAGGGGTATTTTTTAAAACCCTCTTTAACTGCTACAGAAAACCTGAGTTTTCTGCAGGTTGCAACTGAACAGGCTGTATATACCAAGAATGTATTATCTCTTAATATCCTAGACTAATGGTTGTGCTGATGGATATTAGTGGGAACTGAATTCCTTGGAACTCAACAACTGGGGAAAGACATGAGATGATCCAACCAGTGTATGTGGACTTGTGTAGGTGTTGTAGGCTTTGTGCTCCTGTTTGTATGGTATCTGGACAACTATTTTCTACTAAGTGAAGAATCCTGCCTTTATGAATTCCTTGAACTTAGACTCTGTATAAGAACTGCAACTGGTTGAAGCAATAGCAATTTTTCTGCTTACGAGTTTTAATCTCTGAATATAATCCCTTGCTTGTAGAACATCAGTAGTTAGGAGTAAATACAAATATAATATTTACTGCTCTCTAATCTATAGAGAATTCCAAGTCTTCAGCTGCCTTTCCTTTAAAAGCCATCTGGGGGCTCAGCAAAGCAATTCAGCTTTCTGAATTTCAAGATTCTATGGGAACTCGTTGAGGTTTTTGTTTTATTATTGTGAACCTTGTTGCATTCCTTCAGTGTCATTCGTGGATTAAGGAGTGTCTCGGTTTACAAAAATCCATAAAACCATGTGAGGCACGGAATGTGTATGCCATCCACTCTGATTTCCATCAGCTTGGCCGGACAGGAAAGATCTCCACTTTTGATAAGAAGATCACTTCTTCAGAGGCACCGAAGACTGACTCTAGAATGGGTGTCCCATTAGTAGGATTCACAGACTTTCCCCTTAGTGGAGAAAAACCTGGGCTAGACAAATTTCCACCAATCCCCCAAATTCTAGAACCCCCCCATCCCTTTTCAGTCACGTTCCCAAGATCTGATTATTATGGAATGCTGTAAAGAAATGGTGTTTTTTTCTTTCTTCTCTAGGATCACGCATATGCGATCCACAACTCATTCTTCTTCTTCTTCTTTTCCCCAGAGGCATGTGTCTGTCCACGTGTCCTCCTGAGGTGGGCGGGGACGAGCAGTGAGGGATTTACTTTGGAGAGCAAAGGGAGAGAAGAAACCACAGATTAGGGAGAGAACTTCTGCAATTTCATTCAGATGGCCCCCTCGTGTCTGATGGAGAGGCTCGCATTGAGCAGTCTACTCCACAAGAGAAATCGGTTGGGCTGGGAGCGGCAATAAAGCAATTGGAAAGTATGAGTGGGCAACCATTGAACATCCAGTTATGGATCTGCCGTCCTCCTCTTATATGTACTCCTCTCCCCCCCCCCTTTCCCTCTTGGATAATTAACTTTGCTGTCACAGCGAGATGATTTTCCTTTCAAATTTCACCTCCTAATTATCCCCACCAACTGTCTCAATGGCACTCTGGTGACAGAAGAATTTCCTGAATGAATCATTGGTCTGAGGGATTTGCTCTCTCTCTCTCCCCCCCCCCTTCAAGCAATCAGAAGCAGTTTGAGCTGGATCAGATTTATTCATTCTTCCTGGCCAGTCACGGATTGATTGAAGTTGTCTAAGAATTTGCAGCCCGGAGCTTAGAACTTCAGGAAATCAAAAGCAGGGGTAACTATTACAGCCTCGCTCCCTAATGCATACTTTTTCGGTTTATTCCCTGGTTTTGTTCTTTGTACCTTTGTACATTCTTTTCTTTAAGGAATCGGTAGCCCAAAGCTGCAATGAATCAGCAGCAGAGCTATCCCTTCCAAAACGCCACCGGCTCTCTTAAACTCTTTCTCCTTCTCATTTTCCATCACAGCTGAAAACAGCAACAGCACTCTGGAGCAGAAGTAGAACACCGTGTTGTGGTTCAACCCAGCATCCTTCATTTTAGCTCTGTTTATGAAAGCAAGGCTCAGTGAAAAATCTAGGGTTTGTTTTTACATGGGAGCTCAGCTGTAGAACTTGGGCAATAACACAAATGTAGGAGACCAGGGTGAAATTGCTGTATTCTGACAGGCAAGGGGCGCTGTGTAAAAACTGCTTTTCTATAGGAATCAAGAACTATCCAAACGAAGCTCATTTCAATTTAGGGTCTCACATGTGTGCGTGTTTTGTGTTATTTGCATATATGTGTGTCTGTCTTTAAGTCAGTGTTGATTCCTGATCACTTGCCAAGTTTTCTTGGCAAGAAGTGGTTTGCCCTTGCTTCTTCTCCTCAGATATCTTTATTGTCCACATCTACAGAAAGCAGGCTATGAATCTTTTTGTTCTGGTGGGTATTTGTTTAATAACTTTTGTATATGCCGCTTAATATATTGTGTGAATCAGACCTGTGGGATTGTTTTTCCCCTCACCCCCGATTCTTTTCACAATGCGAAAGCTTGCTTTCCAGAAAGAAGAAAATTAGATAGCAGGTAGTTATAAAATTGTCATTGGTCTATTGTTAGAAACATAAGAAAAAGCATCCTGAAGGCTTGCAGATGTCATTCTGAAACTTCTTAATTCAATGTTAGAGGCTTTTCCAGTTCTTTCAAACTCAGCTATTATATGCAATGAATGATTGCAGTTTTATGAATGGCCTCAAACCGAGGGTTTCTGTCAAAAAAAAAAAGGCTTCTTCCTTTCATATTTTCTGAATGTAATTGAAGCAAACTTCCTTTCCCCATATCCTTTCCTCTCATTAACTTAGGAGAAGAGCTGGAAGCGTTGCTTCCTGGCCACCCACCATGCCTCTGATAACTTCATTTATGAACGTCTTGTCTTCATTTTGCTTTTTATTTGTTTGGCTTCCCGCACTTTCTAGCATTGTTAAAGTCTGTTCAATGAGGAGGTTCTATCAGGTCAAAGAGAGACTTTTCTGAACTGGTCAATCAGTTGGGATGGGGTCTTTTATGTCTCTACTGGCAAGAATGCCCATTGACATCCTTGTAACCTCAAAAATTAGTCTAAACGATAAAAAACGTTGGGTTTGGGACAATAATATTGAAGCCAGCCTTAGTCTGGAATAAGTAGACTCATCAACAGTAGTGAAACTTGAGTTAGTCATGACTATCTGTGATCATTATTGTTTTCCTTGGATTTCCTTTAAGAAGTGCAGGGCAGCATCCAAATGATTCACCAGCTCCAGTCAAAACTGGAAACAAATTTATTGGCTTTTTTAGTGTAACTTTTCAAGCAAAGGTGAAGAACACCTTTTTGATGGGATGGTTTGCCAATGGTCCAACTTGGTATCAACTCTGTCTTACTGCAGATGTTAACTGCTAGCCCAGCCCATGGGTTAATATTGCTCACCAGTCTTCCCCATCCAGTCTGTAAAGCTCTAGAATATGATTGTTCTGTTCTTCCCTCTTTAGCTTTAATTATACCTGTTTCTGTCTTGGGATTGATAACATACTTGGTTTCCGCAAATCTGATTCTTGATCCTTGAGAGATTATTGGACCAATCACTCTCTCTCAGCCCAACTTGGCTCATGGGGCTGTTGGAAAAATATGGAGGAGGGAATGTATTGTTCACCACCCCGCAGTGCTGAAGGGAACAGATATACTGTAAATCTCACAAATCACAAACATCCTCCTAAGTTCTTCTGCCTCAAAAGGGTGTTGTTGTGAATACAGGATTTAGTAATTCTAACATTTGATTTATTCTGTGACCAGACTGACATTGTATAACAAACCTCTCTATTATTCTCTGTTTTATTCCACAGCAATTCTTTGGGAGGTTCATGATTTTATCAGTTGGCAAGATGACCATTTGTATTTTTGCCAAAAAAATCCAGTGAATCATCATATTAATTCTACAGAAGTGCATGCTTGGCAAGAATCCAACCGTAGTAAGTTTTTAAACTGCTCTCTTCTTCCTAGAAATTATATTGAAAAGTGGATCACCAGTAGTAGTAATAGTAATGGGTGATATTATCTTGAAACAAGCGAGAGAGTGCAAACATTCAAGAGACATGAGATTTTTCATCAAGGGAAAAAAATTACAAATGTATTCCACAGCAACCTATCAGATCCATAAACCACATCATTCTTTATAGATTCCTGACCTATGAGACAGAGCTGAGCAACTGAACACAGTTGATTACCTTTTTGTGGTGTCTCATAAACCAGATTTTCTATAGAACTAAACTTAGTAAAAGTGAGAAAGAGTCATTTGGTTGGGTAAAAGCAAATGACCCTTTGGGAAAAGAGTCATTTGCCTGTCTTCTATTGAGGACCTGTATATTGCATGAGCCAGAAAGAGGGCCCTTACTGACCCCTCCCATCCTGGACACAAACTGTTTCAATTCTTGGGGTGCCTCTATAGGACATTGCATGCCAAAACAACTAGATACAGAGACAGGTTTTTTCCCCCTCAGGTGCCATCACTCTGCTGAGCACCTAATTCCCACAGTCCTGTCTTATGCCTAAGGATATTTACCCATATACTATGGCTGTTTTACTATTATCCTTCTCATCTTTCCTTTTACCTTCTCCTATTGGTATCTTATTATTATATTACTTTGTTGTTTGTATGTACATTGAGAGGTTATGCACCATAGAAAATTCCTTGTGTGTCTAATCACACTTGGCCAATAAAGAACAGTTCCATTCCTATTCCTATTCCTATTCCTATTCCTTATTCTATTCTATTCTATTCTATTCTATTCTATTCTATTCTATTCTATTCTATTCTATTCTATTCTATATCTGTTCTATTCTATTCTATTCTATCCTAGGATTAAACTATCACAATTAGGTATGCCTTTTTCTATAACGATATGCCTCAGCCATCAGCACAGAATCCTACCAAATGATTGAGAAAAACATAAGTGCTGTGTTTGCATTTTCATAAAATCATCATTGTCTGTCATTTGGGAAGCAGAAGAAAAGAATTAAGAATCCACATAGCTTACCAAAGCAATGCAGCCCATGAATGTATTTACAAATGATTTAGAACAACAGTCAATAACTTTTATCTTATAGTCTCAATAGTCTATCAAGAAAAGCAATCCTATATTCTGAACCCTCAAAAGTCTACTAAGAAAAACGATCTTATATTCTGAACTAGCACTGTGAGATGTCCTAAAGAACCCCACAAGATTTAATAAACTGATATCAATGAATGAATGAATGAATCAATCAATCAATCAATCACAGTTAGGAATCTGAACTAGAGAATCCAGCAAGCTGATGTAACATGAGATGATTCCTTCATTAGATACTTTCAAGCTTTATCTGCCCAAAAAAGTGCGGCCTAGTGAGTCCCTCTACCAATGATACATTAGAATATTCCCACATCTGCCCTTCCTATGCTTCCCAGGCATAGTTGTGTAGAACTGTCCAAGGTACTGAACATTAAATACTAGTGTTCTCTCAAGCCAATAAAGTATTTGACACACACAGTAATAGAAAGAGTTCAGCATTTCTCTTCTGGCCCTTAAAGCTGTTAAACGTGACTCCGAATTAAATGGAAAAAGGTGGATGGAACATTCTGCAATCAAGGCATCACAACCAATAGAACAATAAGCCTGCTAAAAGCTCCAGATTAAAAAATAAATAACTGAGTAGATTAAAAACTTGGTTCCCTGTGAGCCTATTGTTTGCACCAGCATACCAACTAATGTACAGAGATTGAGAGTGGGCAATCCGTCCTGTTCAATTCTTAGAAAAGATAATTGTTTTTAAGCTGAAAGTTGGCTCCTTCTATTCCACCTCCCATTTTCCCCATCAAAAGCAAAGTGGCATATGGTCATGGCTTACTTATTAAGTGTTTGATGAGGTGACTAGAATGCTAATAGCATGAAAAGATTGTAGTAGCAAACGATGCATTATCTTGAGATAAGGTAGTATTATAAAGGCTCTCGTTAGGATTGTTGACATTAGCTTAATGGGAGCAGCTCTTGAGAGTCCCTACTGAAAGAGATGGGCTTGCTTTTATTACGTCTTCTTCCTCTTAGGTCCGTCTGTTTTTCCATTTTTTACTCATGTGATGCGATAATGTGAGAAGCTGTTCACAACATTTCATATAACCATCAGAGCTGTTCACAATTTTGGGGTGTTGCTAAATTCCGGTCCTTGAGTAATATCTCATCTTGTGACTTGAGTGCCATTGAAACTGACACATTTTCCTATCCCATGCCCTGTATCAAGTTACATACCGTGTTTCCCTGAAAATAAGACTGGGTCTTATTTATTTTTAATTTTTTGCCTCCAAAAGAGGCACCAGGTCTTATTTTCAGGGGGGAGGGGTGTCTTTTACACTCACCTCCGGCACCGACAGCCCCATCCAACTGGTCCACTTCTTCTGGGGCTGAAGGAGCAGCTTCATCCCGCAGTTGTATTCTGACTTGCATTTTGCTAATCCATAGCTCAATCTTTGGCTCCAAGATCTTGCAGAACCAAGCAATGGGTTGAATCCATAGCTCTATTCTTGGCTGCACAGCCCTTCCAGAAAGGCCTGTGACCAAGAAATGCAGGCCTGACTGCAGAAGATGCCACAGAAGAGGTGGGCCGGTGAGAAGAGGCCTGGCTGCAACAGTAAGCGGGTGTGGGGTGCGTGGGGCAGCTCCCCCCCCACTCTAGCTTTATTTTGGGGGTAGAGCTTATATTAGGCCCATCCCCAAAAATCAAGCTAGGACTTATTTTCAGGGTAGATCTTACTCTTGGGGAAACATGGTAGATATATATATATATAGATATATATATAGATCAGTGGTGGCGAACCTGTGGCACGGGTGCCAGAGGTGGCACTCAGAGCCCTCTCTGTGGGCACGCGCACCATCGCCCCAATCCTAGGCCTTCAGCTGGGTTTTATAAAACCTTTTCGCTTGAGGCCTCTGCCACTGTGTGCAAAAAAAAAAAAAAAGTTCAATCAGTCAATTTCAACTTCTTGCGGGGAAAAAAAAGATCTTGCAAAATTGGAATTGATTGATTGAACCCAGTCTGCCATTACCACCGCAGCCACGCCCACCCAATGGGCCACACCCAACCAATGACCACACCCACCCAGCACCCGACGATGCATAAATGGGTTTTGGGTTGCAGTTTGGGCACTCGGTCTCTAAAAGTTTTGCCATCACTGATATAGATCAACTACTTTAGAGAAGAAGAAGAAATTATTTACAGTGTTTTATGTAACTTAACTGTCTTGCAGATATGAGTTCAGATATAATTAAAATGGCTGCCAAGTTCTTTTATGCTACTATTAAGAAGAGCGCCCAATTACTGTAGATGGACCTGAGCTGAGTACATTAAGATGACTTTTATTTTAAGTATGATGCTCCACTTGTGATTTGACTGCATTTTTGCTTAGTGGCTAAAGGGCAATAATTCATTGATTCAGATTCCAGTGTGCAAATGAACTTGTTTTTTCATTGATTAAAATTCCAATTTGCAAATTAGTTTTTTTTTCAAAATCCTGATTATTATTTTTTAGCTAAAGTTTTTACATGCAAACTGATGGCTTGCATCATCTGACTCTTGATAAAGTGGGACACAAGGCAAGCTTGTAGGAAACTATGTAAATTACAAATTGCATACATATTTCTGGACATTTTTACTGACAATTGCCCAGAGGTTTTGGGAAATATTGCAATTTTCATAGAATATCCATCTATTTCATTTGAAGGCTGATTTAGTTTGGTTTCGAAGGTGGTTTTCTTATAAATAATCCTTTAGAAGAAATAGCTGGGCAAAATGTAGTTAGACTGTTCCACCCAGAGCTGTAATATTTCCAAATGGATGCAAATGATGATTTAGACATTATCCTAAATCAACTAAATCCCATCAAGTTTTTTGTTTTTTGTTTGTCTCCAGAGTGGATGTTTAGAATTCCTCCAGTCATGCTGGGCTTGTTCAAATTTTGGTGAGGTCTGCCATATTTTAAATGAAATATTTATCACCATTTTTAAAAGCCCATGTGATCTTTTGTCTTATACATCTTGAATTTTAGCAAACAGAGAATCAATTTTTCCTAAAACCCTCCAGCATGCAGTCCGATGCTCTTCTGTTTTGTGACTCAGAAGGCAGGCAGGCCTTTGATTACATCGGTGCCTATCTAAGGCTTCAGGATTTGCTCCATTATCTCTAGTTTCCATGGCAGCTGCATCTCTTTCCAGGGGTTTCTCTATAAGTCATCTACCCTTTTCTTCATTTCTGTTTTCTGTCAGCCGGGAACCAATCTAAGCCTTAACTTAATTTTAGAAGCAAAATTTGAACAGGGTGCATGAGTGTAAAAGATAGATTGATGAACGAGCCAATGTCTGGGAAAGATATATTTTAATGTGCACGGGAATTCATCAGATATTTTTGAAGGATGAGGTTCCAGGATGCAGTTTTTCCAAATGCTTGGAGATGCCAGGAATCTAAGCTTGGATCTCAGTATATAAAGTTCTGTATACAAAGCAGCTTTCAACGTCTCAGCTCTGGCTTCTCCTCAGCCAACAACAAGCATCTTTGACCTAAAATAGCCCTTAAAAGGTCCTTAAACAGGACATGAATCAATTTGATCTAGTGGTTAAGGCAGCAATTAGACGCCAGGAGGTTGCAAGTTCTATCTTGCCTTAGGCATGGAAGCTGGCTGGGGGACTTTGGGCCAATCACAAGGAGACTGTGAGTTCTAGTCCCACCTTAGGCATGAAAGCCAATTGGGTGACTTTGGGCCAATCACACTGGATCATAGTTGGTATGGTCTTTTGATCAGAGAGGTGGCAAACCAAGAAAAACTGAACAGGCAACTAAGGATGGAAAAGTCCATTTTTAGAAGTATATCAAATATTGCCGTGTTACAAACTCTTTCTTGGATAAATGAGCAAAAATTGTCCACTGTTACTTGTTGGATGATCTTTTGAGCAGAAATGAACAAACTTATAATCATAACTGATTTTTTTTAAAAAAATAAAAAATAAAAACTGCTTGCATGCCATGTTTGATGGTGTTTCTAACTGGTATAATTACTTTTAATTACACAGCTGTGTAATTTTCACTTAATTACATTCTTAGAGTTCATATTTAAAAATCACAACATCAGAACATTTAATTTTATAGCAACCCATGATAAATGTCCAGGAAAACAATGCCTCCCAAATGTTCTGCTGGCAACATTCAGAAACTGATTTTTATTTTTTATTTTAACTAACTTAAACCTTTTGCTCCAAATGACTGCTAAAATGAGGGATACAAAGAATAAATAAAGCACAGGAGTAACTTTGAAAGACAAGAAAGAGATATCTCCCCTCTGGAGTGATGCCCTGTTAGCTCCTTTGTTCCCTCAATTTTCACTCAGTGTACTGAGGGAGCTATATAGTCTGAGGTAAATTATCAATTATTGGTTGCTATGTATAGCTAAACATTCCAGATTCTTCCCACTACATAGCATAACAACCCATAAATTGGTGGCTACTTAGATGGTTCTACAGCTGTCACATAAGCAGAGACACTCATCAGTAGCTAAAGCAAGCAGTTTTATTATCTTCTACCTAAGTTACAAGAATCTCCTCAGACTGCTTGCTTTCCTCTAGGAACAACCAGATAGGCTTCATGGATCTTGGGGGAGGTCAAGCTTATGCCCCTTGTGGCTGTACTCTAAGCTAGGTCCTCGCTTGACCCTTCCTTCCAACCTAGCTGTCAGTTTCCCAACATCGGCATGGTTAAAGAATTCTGGGAATTGTAGTTAAAACGCACAAGGGAGAGTATCAAAATAGAGAAAGTTGGTACTAAACGTATACGAATATTATGCTTTCTGGCTCATATCTTGGCCTAAGAACAAAGAGTCTCTGCCTGTGCATTCAAAATCGTGTTTCTTATAGACACAAATCAGAATTTAATAGAAGGTTTAGACAGGTCCCTTTGTCAATATCCAAATTCAGTCAATTCCCAGCTCTCAAGTCCTCAGAGGCCAACCCAAGCCCCCTTGGCCTTTAGGCAACTTTCACACAGGCAGACCCAGTGGGTAGCAATCCCAGTTCCTTTCCACGCCTTTCCCCAGGTCTACCACTGCTGCTAGTACTAGTAGTGAACTACCACTGTTGCTGAACCTCAGGCTGCTTCCAGTCCTCCATTTTCACAGTCACAGAAACAACCTTCCTTCTACTCCACAACGACACCCAGATGTTTTTCTGCTCTGCTTTTATAACTGCTCAGTGCTGGAGAGCTAGACTGGCTGGGGGGAGGTCAGCAAGAGGCAGAGGACCATCAGCCCAGGGGCTTTCTGATTTTCAGGCAGCCTGGCTTCTCACAGCAGCTTAAGACTTTTACCTCTCAGAAAGAAGTGATTCTTTGCTTTAGATCTTTATTTGTGAGGCAGGAAAGGTTAGGGTTTAAAGATTGCAGTCTGTTCAAGTTCTTGGAGCATTTTTGATGATATTCTTCCACTTGAAAACAGATGATAGGTTATGGAAAGAAAAAAAATCACTATGTAACCTTGAAAGAAAAAGTGAAATATTTGTTGTTGTTAGTTGCGAAGTCGTGTCCGACCCATCGCAACCCCGTGGACAACGTTCCTCCAAGCCTTCCTGTCCTCTACCATCTTCTGGAGTCCATTTCAGCTCACGTCTACTGCTTCAGTGACTCCATCCAGCCACCTCATTCTCTGTCGTCCCCTTCTTCTCTTGACCTCAATCTTTCCCAGCATTAGGCTCTTCTCCAGTGAGTCCTTCCTTCTCATTAGGTGGCCAAAGTACTTGAGTTTCAACTTCAGGATCTGGCCTTCTAAAGAGCAGTCGGGGTTGATCTCCTCTAGGACTGACCGGTTTGATCACCTTGCTGTCCAGGGGACTCACAGGAGTCTTCTCCAGCACCATAGTTCAAAGGCCTCCATTCTTTAAAGTGAAATATAAATGCATTTATAACTGATCATCGAAAATTGTTTCTTTATAATCTACTTTCCTTCCCTCCCCTTCTCCTCCTTTTCTTCCTGCTCCTCCCCCTGCTCCACCTCCTCCCCCCTATTATTTTCTATTTTCTTTCTTACTTATTTACTATTCTTTCTTATTTGTTTCTTTTTCTAATATTTTTATTGCTGTATATTAACCCTCCCCCAAAGTTGATTAAATTCAAGTCAATCAACTCTTCTTCTCCTACCATGAACTAAGAACTCAGAAGAAACTTCCTGACGGTGAGAACAATTAACCAGTGGAACAACTTGCCTCCAGAAGTTGTCAATGCTCCAACACTGGAAGTTTTTAAGAAGAGATTTGTCTGAAATGGTTGGAATATAGGGTTTCCTGCCTAAGCAGCGGGTTGGACTAGAAGACCTTCAAGATCCCTTCCAACTCTGTCGTTCTATTCTATTTTAAAAATGACAATTTCACAATGCTTCTCTGAAAATTGAGATGGCTCAGTTTTAGCCATCTGAAATCGGAAAGCATCCACTTCTGAAAAATTTTCCCTTTGCCTTTTTTTCCCCTGCTGCCATTTTCTACTAAACAGGAATTTCTTTGCTGTTAATCTGACAATAGTTGGCTTCTCTCTCTCTCTTTTTTTTTTTCTAATTCTTCTCTTGCTGTGAAAAGGTAACATTGCAAAATGAAAACCGAAGGTTTTCTGTTTCCATTCTAATTGGAGGGGCCCTGGCTGGTCACACCAGCATTTATTGAGGCTTCAAACTGCAGTGAACTCAGCTGTGTGTTTGGATGGTGAAACTGGTAGCACACAGAATAAGTGTGGAAGTGCCTTGTGTCAACATGGGGTTGTTAAGTACACCCTGTGGTTTGCTTGTTTTAATGCTCCTCTAAGTGGCGAATTGTGTGTTTTTATTAGTCCAACTGAGCTAATGGTATGATTCAGAACAGAATGTAAAAAAACAGCAGTAAAGCTGTAAAAAACAAAAAAAAAAGGAATCCAAAATTCCCAGTCAAGCAACACATTTAATAGGAGCAAGCAAATTAAGATAAATGAGCATGCAAGCTTTTGCCATCCCCAGAATTCTTCAACCGGTATGCTGCATGAATCAGGTGAGGGGAGAAAAAAATAAAATAGAAATACTATACTGTATACTAACTGCATGCTTTGGGGGTAAGGAATTGCTCTACTTTAAACTGCAACAAAAAACTAAGAGCCATGCTATCTTATGGGATATTTATTCAAAATTCTGCACACATTCTGGGTAAAAGGCACACTGGGATAACATTTACCTGCCTACAGCAGGTGTCCAAGATGGGCATCTATGTCAACATTTTATGCACAAAGTTCCTCTCAAGCCAAAACAGTGTCCATTCAAAATTCTCAGTCCAGTAAAAAGCTGTATGCACATATAAATTTGCATTAAAACCCTCCATAAATGTTTTGAAATCAAGGAGAATGGTTCCTATGCGAATCTTGAAGGGCTGCACGGAGGCCATAGTCAATATCTCCTTGGCAATAGAATATCTCCTTGGTCAATGGAATATCTCCTTGGCCAGTGGGATTGCTGAAGTTATAATTTCCTTCCTAGCTCCAGATCAATCATTTGATCAATCAGTTGGTTAATCCATCAAGCAATTGATCAATCAATTCTAACTTGAGTGTTTGTCATGCAACCACACTACCAAATTTATTAACTTTTTAAGATGTTCCTGACTTCTTTTTTTGTGCTTTCTTCCTAGTTGACCACCTGATTTCAGGATGACTGAGGGTTTAGATCACAGATTCAGTTATCTCACCTGGGAACAGATTAAAATACTGGATCAAGTGCTGACTGAGGTGATCCCCATTCATGGAAGAGGGAATTTTCCAACTTTAGAGGTCAAGCCAAAAGACATCATTCATGTTGTCAAAGAGCAACTGATAAAGAAACAAATCATTGTTCATGATGTTCGCTTGAATGGATCCACGGCGAGTCATATACTTGTTAAACAAAATGGCACCAGCTACAAAGACTTGGACATCATTTTTGGTGTGGAGCTTCCAAGTGAGCATGAATTTCAGGTTGTGAAGGAATCTGTCTTGAGTTGCCTCTTGGATTTTTTACCAAAAGGTGTCAACAAGGAAAAAATCACGGCACAGACCATGAAAGATGCTTACGTTCAGAAGATGGTAAAGGTATCCACAGACCATGATCGCTGGAGCCTCATCTCCCTGTCCAACAACAGTGGCAAAAATGTGGAGCTCAAGTTTGTCAACTCTCTCCGGAGGCAGTTTGAGTTTAGTGTAGATTCTTTTCAGATCATCCTCGACACTGTGTTGAATGTTTATAGTGATGCAAATGGCAAACTTACGGAAGATGCTGAGCTGTCTGTTGTTGCTGAGAGCATGTATAGAGACTTTGATGAAGCTATGGACCACTTGAAATACAAACTGATTGCTACAAGGAACCCAGAAGAGATCCGTGGAGGAGGTCTTCTGAAATATAGCAATCTTCTGGTCCGGGATTTTAAGCCAGCTGATGAGGCAGAGATTAAATCATTGGAACGTTACATGTGTTCTCGGTTCTTCATTGACTTTCCAGATGTAGCTGAGCAACAACGGAAGATTGAGTCTTACCTGCGTAATCACTTCATTGGGGAAGAGAAGAGCAAGTATGACTACCTGATGACCTTGCGTGGGGTTGTGAATGAGAGTACGGTCTGCCTTATGGGCCACGAACGAAGGCAAACGCTAAATATGATTACAATCCTGGCTCTCAAAGTACTTGGAGAGCAGAACATCATCCCCAATGTAGCCAATGTAACCTGCTACTATCAGCCTGCCCCTTATATCAGAGACAGGAACTTCAGCAATTACTATATCGCTCATGGACAACCTTCTATTATCTACCAGCCCTATTCCTTCCACATACACATGCAAAGTGGTATGGTGTAACCGATCACGAAACCTCCTTGCCTTACATCAGCGCTCAATCAACCCTTGCTCCACCCAACAATTCTCTTCAAAATAAAGCCCTCGTTAAAGCAAGTTTTCCCACCACGTTTGATTAGCGGGACATCATTTGGTGTGTGTACCCATCTATACATGTGTGCTGTGGCAAATGTCCATCGTCGGTCCAGACCTTGAAATATCCTTCAGGCAGCTTGGCAAAGTGTGACTTGGATATCAAAGGAGTTGTGTTTTGATTGACTACACATTGCATACTCAGTGCCCTAAAACTATGATCTCTTTGTTTTTTCATGTACCGATTTGTGTTCTTCTCTTTTTATTGCAAAGTCTAGAAAAGGGTAACCAGCGATAAGGCATTACAAGTGTCACAAAGGGATGGAAGATGATGCCATGCCTGAAGAAAAGTGCAACAGCCATGAGAGTTCACTATGAAAGCAGCTTTCTTCACGTCGGGACCATTTACATGATGTTTGGTTACATTTCTCAGAATGTCAAGCGTCGCTAGTTGGGAATTTGGTGAACTGAAGCCCAACACTGGATTTAATTTTCCTGGGCACCAGGTTGGGGAAATCTGGTATCGATATAGTTTTTCCCTCCAGATTTGTGGGATTCAACTCCCAGAGTTCTCAGCAATAATTATGTTATCTGGGAATTTTGGGAGATGATTCAGATATCTGGAGATGCCCGGGTTAGGAAAGATTCTGTATGTTTTGTAGAGACTGGGTGATCAGCATGATTTCTAACAAAACTTGAAGAGTGGAGAGAAAGAACGCTTTTGAGCACTTTTAGAAGGTCTGCCATGGTTTGTGGAAGGAATTCCAGCCCTTTAATTCTAAACTGTGAGAAGATAGAAGTTGCCCTTACATATATTAATTGTAATTGGAAGTGAAGATATTGAGTTAGATAAAGATCTGGCATTGCCCGATTGAAGTATCTACTAGATGAGGAATAGATAGCCCACAGTTCACTTTATTGAGATTTAAGTTATCAATTTCTCCTCTTCAAAGACGACCCATGCAAAATTATGGTTTGTGGCACCCATTGCCCCAACAACACCATGCGTGAGAACTATTTTCTGGCTCCCAGATCACATATACAGACGCCTATGCACATTCCATGTTTAAGTATGACCTCGATACAAGCATACCTCAGAATCATGTGGCAATGAAGGAGAGGGCCCAGAGAGAATCATAGCCCTGATATATCTAGACAGAATTAGGGTCACTTCATGTTTATTCCCAAGCACAGACTTCAGACACCAAAGGCTATAAAACTTGCCTCCAGAAGCTGTGGATGCTCCAACACTAGAAGTTTTCAAGAGGAGTTTGGACCACCACATGTCAGGAATGGTATAGGGTCTCCTGCTTGAGCAGAGGTTGAACTAGAAGACCTCCTATGTCCCTTCCAACTCTCGTATTCTGTAAAGCTAAGGGAGAAAACAAATCCTTGACTGGACAGGCAATTGGTTAATGTTGGTGTTTTCTTTGACATGTTGGATGGAGAAAATTGTTTTAGAAGGCACAGAAATGTCCTTGGAAAGAATAGCCTTGTTTAATTCTTGTTCCATTTTGCCTTCCGCAGCAGACAGGAAATAATGCTTTTTTCCCCCCTTGAGGAATGTCTCTACAGCATGAAATGCTTCAGATCTCTGAGTTTAGATTGTAACTTAGCTTTCGACTTGAATTTTTGTGGGTACCAATATGTCACCATGCAGTGCTTGGCAGTTTAAACAGGCACATGAATTTTATTTAGGAGGAAGCATCTCCTTGTATTTGGAGTAGCAAAGTATTTGTATATGTATACACACACACACACACACACACACACACACACATACACACACACATGTTTTCAAAGGGATATTCTGGAACAGAATGGGATAGAATGATGGATAAAAGACACAGAAGCAGGTACAGATCAGAAATACAGGTACTCTTTCAAAAATTAAAAAATGGTGGAGCTTTTATGACGCCCAGTTCTGAAATTCATACCAAATATTAATTGGAACGATAGGAGTGAATTAGGAACTTTAAGAAAAAGCTGACCACTTGAATCTCCTTTTGTCCCCAAGAACTGCATTCAGTGAAGGTGTACACACCAAATGTTGTGTGTCTGGCACTGGGGAAAAAAAACAACCACACACATGCTTCTTGCCATTGTTTTTAAAATGTGTGCTTTTCCAAACGAGACAAGAGTTTTCAGGTGCCAAAGTGCCTCCTCCCACTCTATTTTCATAGAACTTAACCGAGAAAGAGCAAAATCTCTTTGCTCTTTCTCGGTTAAGCTGTAATTCTGAAGGGGGAACTTCAGAACACTAAATGGGCAAAGAATCCTCTCATTGCCAGCCCTGGTTTTTTTAAACGAGTTCCCCCATATTTTTCTGTACATTTAAATAGACTCCAAGAGTTGATTTGCACCATGTGTTTCTTAGGTTTAACTATTTTGTTCGCTGCGGTTTCAAAAGAAGAACCGTAGCATCACTCAGGATGGACCCTGGAAATAACTTGCTTACGATTTGCAGATTTCTCTGACACAATTTGCAATGGCCACCATTCTTAAGGACTTTCAAAGAAAAAGGATGAGCTGTCTATCAAAAGCTAGTGGTGACCAGTAAGGGAACCTTTATTCTCAGAAGCCAGATGGGTTTTTTTAAAAACACAAAAAAACACACACACACACAGACACACAGGCAAGGACACCCTGCTTCTTAATCTCCCAAAGCATACAATTTACCTTTAGTCCTTGGTCTTGTTGGGTTGCTTTGTCTAATGCTAAAGGGTTCAGGTAGTCCTTGACTTATGAACACAATTGAAACCACAATTGCCATTGCTAAACAAGGTTTTCCCAGTTGCAATGTATGGCTGTGAAAGTTGGACCATAAGAAAGGCTGAGCGCAAAAGAATTGAGGCCTGTGAACTATGGTGCTGGAGAAGACTCCTGCGAGTCCCCTGGACTGCAAGGCGATCAAACCGGTCAGTCCTAGAGGAGGTCAACCCCGACTGCTCTTTAGAAGGCCAGATCCTGAAGTTTAAGCTCAAGTACTTTGGCCACCTAATGAGAAGGAAGGACTCACTGAAGAAGAGCCTAATGCTGGGAAAGATCGAGGGCAATAGAAGAAGGGGACGACAGAGAATGAAGTGACTGGATGGAGTCACTGAAGCAGGAGGCGTAAGCTGAAATGGACTCCAGAAGATGGTAGAGGACAGGAAGGCCTGGAGGAGATCAACCCTGACTGCTCTTTAGAAGGCCAGATCCTGAAGTTGAAACTCAAGTACTTTGGCCACCTAATGAGAAGGAAGGACTCACTGGAGAAGAGACTAATGCTGGGAAAGATTGAGGGCAATAGAAGAAGGGGATGACAGAGAAGGAGGTGGCTGGAGGGAGTCCCTGAAGCAGTAAGTGTGAACTTAAATGGACTCCAGAAGATGGTAGAGGACAGGAAGGCCTGGAGGAACGTTGTCCATGGGGTCGCGATGGGTCGGACACGACTTTGCAACTAACAACAACAAAGCAAGGTAGTTGTTAGTGAGCCGTGCCCAATTTTATGACCTTTTTGCCATGGATGCTAAGCGAATCACTGCAGTTAAATGAATCGTGCAGTCATTAAGGAAATCTGGCTCCTTCCCTTGACTTTGCTTGTCAGAAGCCAATTGGGAAGGTCGGGGATCATGTGATCCCCTGGTGATCATATGACCCCAGGAAGCTGCAACCATCATCCATACAGTGCTGGATGCCAAGGGCCTGAATTTGGATCACACGTCTGTGGGGAGGCTGTATTGCTGGCAAGCGTAAGTCACAATTTTTTAGGGCTTTTTCAGTAACTATGAACAGTCACTAAATGTGTGGTGGTAAGTCCAGGACTACCTGTGCTTTCTTATCATGTGATATGAATTGGAAATATCATTTTGTAATTTTCTCCATGAATAGCAAGCAGAGAAAAACACTTAATGATCCTTTTACATGTTTGTTTTTTTCACCACCAGTTTTGGTGGCTATCTTTGATGCACCAGAAATACATAAATTGGAAGGGACTTGAGAATTTGACATCTTTACCTGCCCTTTAAATGTTCTTGCAAAAAACAGAAGTCCCATTTTCTTGGGAGACAGGAATAAGTATTCAACCAGTCTAGGTTTGTAGAGTTGAGGCGCAAGCAAAACTTCAAAGATCTGGATGGTTTTCCTCAACTGCAGCTAAATGCACCTTCCTAACATATGTGTACTTTATCAAACACTCGTTGGTGTCATTCTGATGATGTGATATATTCAATCTTTGCTACTGGCAGCTGACTTAGAAAGAAAGTGTGGCCAGAACAAGGTGTGCCTTTTAGTGTTACTATGAATATGCATTGTTATGTCTTTGAGAATAAGCATGTGTATATTATCAACAACGTGAGACCTGCTGGTGTTCACTGACCACATTGTGTAGCTTTCTATCAGTTATTCATTTAATTCAGTTTTGTTTTGTGTCTTTATACTGTCATGAAGTTTTAGTTTATCCAACTACACCACCAGGTTTTGAATTGAGCTCCAGCGGAAACAGTGATTCAGTTTATTTTGATGAGAAGTTTGAACCATTAAACAGTTTGAAGAACATCAATATGCAAAAAAAAAAGTCTCAGGTATAAATTGAATCTCTTGGTATATTCCTGTGTTTCTTACATAAAGGTAGCAGTTGACAGTCTCCAGAGAGAAATTATTTGGCATGTATATATAGAAATCAAACTGAGCAGAATATTTTTATATATATATCTATATATCTATGTAAGATGTTATTGATTAAAAGTTCCAATAGATTTAGGAATGCTTTCAGCAGTGTTGATTCTTGTTTTTGTTTGTTTTTGAAATACAGCCACCAGAGGAAATGTACACGTTCAGCTTTCTCTTGTGAGCGTCTCAAATACAAGGCAGAAAACTTGACTGTTTGGGTCTTGGGTACGTAAGGGTAAGAACTACCCTTATAACATCTCCATTCTAATCAATGAAAGTTGTACAATCTTACAGTTGTACACTTGGATTATACTGAGCATTGTGGCTGCTGTTTTAAAAAAAACATTCAGTAATAACTTATTGTACATGATAGATGTGTTCCATGATATGTGCTGGATGGAACATTACCGGTCTTTCCATATGCCCAAGTTATTGCATATGCACCACGCCCCAAAATTGGAACAAAGAAAGCAGCTTTATACTGAATCAGATCATTAGTCCATCCAGCTCAATTTGGCATTATCTAAATTGACTACAGAGTCTTTTCTGAGTTGTGGACAGGAGATCTTCTACTAGGAGATGCCATGAATTGAACCTAATGCTTGCAAACCAGACACGCAAGCACTGAGCAAGCATCTCCATGCTTCAAAGCATGGAGTTTCATCATGCTTCCCTTACTCACTCATTCCCAAGGAAGTTAACAAGACTGGGTAATAATAATAAGTAGCAAAGTTTTCTGCAAGATGTCCTGAACAGTTGCTCCTAGTCAGATAGTCCTAAGTTGGCGAATAAACAATTTGATTTGATATAAAGGATCTTATGTGTAAGCCTAGAAAGAGGCATAGCATTCCATTGTTATGTAAGTGTCAGTCCTATGGGGAAAATCAGATCAAGAAACTAATTTAACAAGGAGTCTACAACTATATGAACAGAATCTTGTAAGTCTGCTCGTGTTTTACCTTCCCTCACTCTTTGTTTTACCTTCCCTCACTCTTTGCCTTCAATACTTCCATGGCTCTCTACACTAAATTCCTGCTGATGCACCTTACCTACATCTTGATTCATAAATTCGTCAACTGACAAACCTGTTTGTGTTGCAGAACATTGAGTGATTTCCCTATCCTCCACCACCCACATAATGTAATGTTAGAAGCAGGGTTTCCATCCAGAAATGTATATATTGTGAAGCTACTGTGCATGACTATCCTACAGTACATATCAATTTTTTTTAAGTGTGAGGATCATTGATGTCAATTGCACCTCTGTTTGGGAAGGACCAGAGGCAACTTAGGTTAAGTTTGGATTTACCAGTATAGATTATCTGTATGATCCTGCTGTTGTGCATCGATTTTCTCTTGCATGTTCTGCTTGGACATGTGTCTCCAAGTCCTAATTTGATGGGCCCCATTGTGATTGCCTTTCTGACGTATTACATTATGTGTGTGGTGAATTGACTTGATGTCAGCTTTCTCTTTGATATGTGAGGAGGGACACCCACCCAACAAATGTAATAACCAGATTCTGATATTATTACCTCCAGATATAAATCTATCTACAAGATTTTGTTGATTTTTTTTGTTATACGTTTTGTTAAATGTTTATGTAAAATCTTATTCAGTCAATATGGTTGGAATATGTCTAATGAATATTTTTTAGAATGCCTGGTTTCGATCCATTGTTTTCAGAAAACTTTCCCAAAGTTTACAGCTTCAAGTAACCTAATGTTGTGAGGTCCTGTGTGTAAAGGTTTAAGTGCTTTCTTAATATAAATATATAGGCAGATAAATATATATATATATATATATATATATATATATATATATATATATATATATATATATATATATAAAAAGAATCCCTTAAGATCTTTTGTTATAATTGTCAAAGAATAGAGACAGATATTTTATGGTATTTTCATGTACTTTGTGACATTTATACTATTTAAGATGTTGATGTTTTATCAGACAATGAGTTTTTAAAAAGTTATAGTTCACAATCAGAATGATATGTTTGTTGTGTTCCAGTGATCCAACAAAGAATGGACTGTTTTTGTTTTCCGTTTTTAAATGTAAAAGTGGACAAGCTACATGCACGCATTATGCTGCCATTATGGACCATCTAACCTGATCTCAAGTGCAACAAGGACTTGCAAACAGGCAACTCTTTTGTGCAGTGTTGATCAACCTTAGCAACCTGTTGTTGACTTCAACTTCCAGAATCCGTCCAACCAGCATGAGGTTGTAGGAATTATGGGAACTGAAGTACATACATCTTCAATTGCTGAGACTGAGAAACACTGATCTTGTGTATAGTTCAAAAGGTCTTGATTTGCACCTGGAGGGTATTTGGGCATCTCCAGTTAATTTTATTTTTATTTTTTGAAGATCAGGAGGCATGTGATGGGAAAGATCTCTTCCTGAGACTCTGGAAGACTATTTATGGTCAAAGTACAGTATGGGTTCACAGCATATGTCCCTCCAGATACTGCAGATACTATGTCCTACATTATTGCATGTACTGGCTGGAGTTATAATTCAGCACAGCCTGGAGGACATGCTGGACTTCTTCACATAATACTTAATGAATACTGTACTTGGTGGCTAGGGACCAAAGAGGATGGACCAGTGATGTGATGATGTCAACTAGAGATTGGAAAGTCAGAATGTTTGTTCTGCTCTCCGCGTTTCACTTTCTGAAAGATACGGTTTAAATATATATTTTGTTTGATTTCCCACTGAAAATCGATTAAAAACAATTGTGCCATCCTTATTCTGTGACTTACCACCAAGTTGCAGTTCTTGGACTTGGGACTGTGGGAACTGCAAGGGTAGATCATGCAAAAGTAGACCACCTGCAGTCCACAAGGTAGGGCTTGGGCCATCCTTACATGATAAGGTGGGTTCTTATATACTCAAGGGCTCCACATTCAGTGTGATGGAGAAGAACTTAATGGACACAAGGAGAAACCAGTGATTGACCCTGAAGTCAATGGAGAAGGTTTCAATGCTTGTAAAAACATGAGTTCCTAAGCATTCTGGAAGCTGTTGGAATGGAGAGCTTCCTTGCAAATTTCACAGAGGTTTTGCAATGGAAAAGATTCAGGGATTTTTATTTTATAAAGGATTATTGGATAACTTTTCCATTGGAAGCTAATAGAAATTAGGAAACATCTTATCAGCGTTTCATTAAGGC